GGAGTAGATAAATCTAAAAAGAGGGTACTTATTCTCTTCAGAGGAGAGTTCAAGGGCATTATTACAATCGGAAATAAAAGCATCTAGTTGATTCCTTTCTCCCGAAAAGAGTCGACAGTAGAACAAGATTTGTTCTGGTTCTTACTTTGTTTGGTGGCTAAAGATGTCTGGAGCCTGGCATTCTCGCAGTGTAAGACAATTCCTTTTCTGTTGGCTAATTCCGGTCGTTTTTTTTGAATGGCATGATTTAAATTAGCCAATTGTCTAACCTGTGAATTTTTGGTCTGATTTCGTGGGCAGCAACAGCAGCTCAAATTAGACTGTGCCTTTATGAACCCACCAAACTGATAACGGTACCTTTTTTTTTGATGAATGTTAGCCTTGGAAGTTGTCGGTGCCTGTTCGCCTTGCCTAGACCAGGATCTTTTCCTCAAAATGTTGTCATAGACAATCCATTTTTTACCTCCGGTGGCCATTCGCATTGTTGCATGTAAGAAGCATATCGCAAAAATCAAGTCGTCTCGATTGTTAATCATTTGTGCCGTCGGTATTGCTCTCCCTCTCTTCCTGTATCTTCTTATCCCCTGAGAGTAGAGCAATACTTTTTGTTTTAATATTTCTATGATATGTTTGATATGGTTTCCTGTTGCTCAGAGTATCCTACCGACTGCGCCAAATTTAATATGTTTGATGAAATATGTCATCTTATTTCATTGTGTCCATATTGGTGGCGTTAGCATTTTGTACACTTCTTATTGACGATTTTCTGGGTCGACAATCCAAGAATGTTTGTTTCCTCTTCCTTTTATTGTACGTGAGGTTTTTCTTGGATGTCCGACGGGGATTTTCCCATTTTCCTTTCTTTTTTTTTTTTTTCTCGAATCCAAAGTAGAGCCGCTTTGAATATCCTGTTCCCGTTCGAGCGCTCTACGAAATGTCTTTGGATTTGATTGAAAAAAATTTGTTTGTTGCGAACGGAAAATTTTTCTGGTTGGGGAGCCCAACAACGGATGACGAATTCGAAAAATAGCCAATCCAAACCACCACCACCAACATCGATATCGTCGTATGTTTTTTCTATAACGTTATTATTATTATTATTATCACTAGGTTTGATTGATTGTTTTTGTTTTTATACAACATATTCGGAAGATATTTTGTGTGTCGGATTTAAATTTTCAGAACGTGTAAAAAAAAAAAAAAATTTTTTTTAAATATGTGTTTTTAAAATTTTGGCGGGATTTTTAAAATAAAATAAAAAAAATTTTTTTAAATATTTGTTTTTAAAATTTTGGCGGGATTTTTAAAATAAAAAAATTTTTTTTTTTCAAATATTTATTTTTTTTTTTCTATTCTTTTCTTTTCTTTTCTATATTTACTTGTATCTTGTTTTTAAAGGAAATGAAAGAGAGAGAGAGAGAAGGATAAAGGAGAGGAAAAAACAATGATTATATTGTTTAAACGATTTGTTTTTTTTAATCCATTTCCGGCCCGACGGAAATGAACACGGTCAATATTTATTTATTCTATGGATATTATCTTTCTCTCTCTCTTTGCGTCTCTCTCTCTCTCTTTCTTTGTATTAGTTTTTCCAATCTTTAAAAATTTTCTTTTTTGTTTTTTTTTTTTTTTTTTTTTTTATCTCGGCCCGACCGAAATTCAGGTATACAATTAAAAAAGGAAAATTATCATCATCGTGATCATGATCATCATCATTATCATCATCGTAATCATAATCATAATAATAATAATCATCATTATTGTCGTCAAAGTCGTTATCTATCGTCTTCGTCATTAAGTATTTTATTTTAGGACGTGAGTTTTGTCCGTTCGTGACCTTTTATGAAAATATTTCAGGTTTTTTTCTTCTTTTTTTTTTTTTTTTTTTAAACAAAACAACAATAATATAAATAATAATGATAATAATAATAATAATAATAATAATAATAATAATAATAATAATAATATTTAAATAAAACGACAATAAACCGTTAATATTTATTTTTTTAAATGTTGCCAAAAAAACAAAAAATTATTATTATTATTTTTTTTAAAAAACGCGTATATGTAAATTCGAGTTAAATTTATTAATATTTGTTATTTTACGATGATAATAATAATAATAATAATAATAATAATAATAATAATAAATAAAATGGTCGGGTAACGCGTTTGAGATTTATTATTATTATTATCAGTTTTGAATAGGACGCAAACGTTTGAAACTTGTTGGAAGTTTTTAGAATTCATTCCAGGTTTTGAATTCGATATCCCTACATCCGGTTGTGACGTGGCTACCGGTGTTCCCACGATGACCGGAAACGTTTCACAATCCCGTCGATTCTGGTTATTTCCGTTTCCGAATTTTCAATCGTTTGACTCTCGGGTATTTTCTTGACTTCGTAATCATGTCTCACTATACGACATCGTC